TGTTGTCAAATTTTATGGAGTACACTGTAAATCTTTAGAATGGAAAAACCAAAACTGTAGAAGTAGCACTGGCAGCGCATGCCTGCGCGCTAAAACTTTACGTACGGAGGCATAAAGAAGCTCGTAACTTTTACAGTTTTGGTTTTTCATTCTGAAATTTGTACAGTGTACTCCATAAAGTTTGACCACTATATAATCAAATTCGAGACTTTTCAAAGAGATGGCAGCCCTCTTCAAAATATTTTCAAACTATGTCTTTACTAAAACGTTTTCGGTTGACACTTATATTTTAATCTTTTATGTAAAATCCATGTAATTCTAAATTTGACTTTTCAAGCAGTTGGCATTCCTCTTTAAAAGTATTTTGAAACCAAAAACCTTCCTTAATATAATTCAACCAAAACTGTGGTGAACAGATCAATTAATTAATAAATTAGGTTGGAGTTGATTTTTTTAACTGGTGGCAACTCTCCTTCATATAGGCTAGTAGTAAAATCTTTTTGATGCGCATTTCTATTGATACCCATCTTTTAATAATTTGTTAAACGTATTAAATAATTTAAGTTTTCATGTTTGAAAAAGTGGGGACCCTCTTCAAAAATGTCAAATATATTATAAATAATTAAACTAAAGATTTCATTACACTCTTTCGTTTACACCCATATTTTAATATTTCATACAATTTGTACGTAATTTGATTTAGTTCGGCTTTTCAAGCAGTGGCAGCCCTCTTCCATATATTTATACCTTTCATGAGCATGAAATGGTATTATAACTTTGGTCCGATGTTTGTAAGTACCAGAACAAAAAGAGATAGACCCATCAAAATGTATACTTATATGATCAGAACGTCGAGCTGAGTTGATTTATCCATGTCCGTCTGTCTGTCTGTCTGTCTGTTTGTATGCAATCTAGTCTCTCAGTTTTCGAGATATCCGGATCAAATTTGGCAGGTGGGTGTATTTTTATAATGTATTAATCATTTGTCGGAACCGGAAGAATCGGACCACTATAACATATAGCTCCCATACAACTGATTGTTCAGATATGAGATTTTTCGTTATAACTTCTCCATTTATGCAGCTAAGAACATGAAATTTCGCAGCACTTTCACCCATTATCAACAGAATGCTTACAGTGAAAATTACAAAGATCGGGTCACTATAACCTATAGCTCCCATACAACTGATTGTTCAGATATAAAATTTTTCGTTATAACTCCTCCATTTATATAGCTGGGAACAGAAAATTCCGCACTGTTTTCAATAATTATCAACAGAAAAACTTACAGTGAAAATTAAAAAGATCGGATAACTATAACCTATAGCTCCTATACAACTGATTGTTCAGATATGAGATTTTCCGTTATAATTCATCCATTTAAGTAGCTAGGACCATGAAATTTCGCGCTGCTTTCACTCATTATCAGCAGAAGACTTACAGTGAAAATAACGAAGATCGGGTCACTATAACCTGCAGCCCCCATACAACTGATTGTTCAGATATAAGGTCTTTTATCATAACTCCTCCATTTATGCAGCTAGGAACATGAAATTTCGCACCATTTTCACTCATTATTAACAGAACACTTACAGTGAAAATAACAAGGATCGGGTGACTACAACATATATCTTCCATACATCTGATTGTTCAGATATGGGATTTTACTGTAAAACTCCTTTATTTGAACAGCTAAAACCGATAAAATTCGTAAGATATTTTATAAATAATAATACAAAGTCTACTGAGAAAATCGTCAAAATCTATGCTGTATAAGCTTTATCTACTATAGCACTGATTGTTCAGATACCCATGGGCGTAGCCAGGTAGGGGCAGGGGGGTGCTCGAGCCCCCCCCCCTCCTAACTTTCAAATTTTCCTTATATATATATAAAATAGTACCCTGAAATGCCAGCTTAATAGGGTCAAGCCCCCCCCCCCCCTAAATTTCATTCTGGCTACGCCGATGCAGATACCAGGTTTTGCGATATATCTCCTTTATGTAGGAAACTAAACCCAATAAATTGTGTTACCGGTTTACGTACCGATCACATAGCAGTGAAAATCACTTAGATTGGTGCCATATAAAGTATATCCTCCATACCTCTGATTGTTTAGAGGCGATTTTTCATATAAGTATGTAACTCCTCTATCGATGTATGCAGATGTATTCAAAATCAGTAATCTGTCAAACTAAAATTTGCAGATGTTCATGAAAGGTATGAAGCCTTCGGCA